GGGGGGGTGTTATAGTGTGATGTGATGTGATGATGTGTTTGAATTAAACTATAATACCTACGCAATGGTGTAACTTGAGATCTACTTAGAGTTCCTCAGAGTTACTCGGAGCTAAAATAACTTTTTATGTTGAGTATGAGTAGGTAGGTGGTTTGATTTGAGTTGATTTGATTTGATTTGATATGATTAAGTTAAGTTAAATTGAGTAGTACTCCACTAAGTTGTTTACTATACTATAAATACAGTAGTACAGTAGTATGATTGTCCTTGAATGCTACCTCTTTAGTGAGATTTGAAAAGTATATTAAGGTAAGTAAATACAACTATTCCCTATTCCCTTATTTCCGAGTCCCCCAACTACTCTAATCATTACAGTTTTGAGTATTGGTCCAATACTGTACGGTACATTTGTACATCCTCCTACTGATATGTATGGTATGTACTGTACGGTAACTCGCCTCACCTCGCTTCACCTTACTTCATTCCTCCTACAAACTGACCATGTAGCTGACAAGGAAAATGTAAGCAAGCAAGTCTACTGTGACCCTGTCCTGTCTTGTCCTGTCCAGTTTGCCTATGAATCCGACCTCCCTCTTTCTTTACTGGAATAAATAGAATAAAATATTCCCTGATCGTGCCTTATGGTATTGATTGTATCTTACAGATTTACAGATTCGCCTTCCTTCCTTCCTCCTTTTCTTTTCTTTTCTTCTTGAGTAAGATACATGGCGATGAACGAGTTTCTTCCTCGCCCTCGCCGACTGGTGGGGTTTCTTTCTCTCTCGTGTGATTTCGTGGGTTACGTTATGTTGGGTTGGTTGTGTTGCGTGGGTTGTTTGTACAGGGTTGGTTGGTGGTGAGGTGGTCTGATGATGCGGGGAGGTTGGTTGATGGTGACCCGCAAATAAAGGTGAAGGGTACTTTGGTGTTTAGGGAAAATGAAAGGGGGACTGTTTCAAGCACCGGTATACCCGATTATTTCCCTGTTGTCATCTACCAGTCTTCCATACCTATGGAAAGATAGTATCAGTATATCGTCAAACCAAAAAAAACCCCCATTAGGAAAATAAGGTTAAGAGAAGCGAGTGAGAAAGAGGGGAAAGGGGGAAAGGGGGAATATACTCCAACAACAACCTAAAAAACCAAACCTCCAAATCCTCATTCCTCAATACCTTTGCCGCCCACTCCCTCCCCTGAAGCGCCAACCGCTCCGCCTCCTTCTTCCCCGTTGCCTCGCCCGCAAACCACCTCACAGCCTCGACCCACTCATCCCCACGCAGAGAAAGCGGTATGTAATGCACCCAAGGCTTCAACCACTCCTCATGCCACTCCCGAAACACGGCAAGTTTATACACCAAACTCTTACTCTTCAAGAACGCGTAGAAGCGCCCCGAGAACGCGTTCCCATCCACGTCGAGGAGGTACTTGTATTTCCATGCGTCCGTTTGCCTGGCCGTGTCTTTGATGGTGAAGAATTGCCGTTGGGCGTTGCAGTCGGATTCATCGCATTGTCCGACGTGGGAGAAGAAGATGTCGAAGATGGCGCTATAGTCGCTGCGGGGGACTTCTTTGACTTGCCAGTTTTCCTGGCCGCCTTCGGGACTGCTGTTGGTGAGGATCTTGGCTTGGTCGTTGGCGTTGATCTTTTGCACGACGTGTTGGCGATGTTGTCTTCGCCAGCCGCCGTCTCGACTGAATCCTCCCGTTGTTGAACCGCGCCACCAGATTTTGTCTTCTTTCGCGGTCCAGGCGCGGTCGCTTTTGTCGTCGTATTTTACTTTGCCTGCCCAGTACCAAGGAGAGGGGTACAGGATGTCATTGTAGGAGGAGATTTTGGATTGGGAGAAAACTGGGAAGAGGTCGTGGACTATGTTGTAGGCGTTTGGACGGTCAAAGAATCCGAATGTTGAGCCGAAGGAGGGGGATTGACAGACGTCTGAAAAGGCGGTAGCATTGTATACGAAACCCAATTCTCCGAGCGCATAGCTGTCGTAGTTATCTCGGGCTGGTTCGTCTTCAAGGGATATGCGTGCGGGGGAATTGGCGGGGCAGGACATTCGAGAATGTGTCCATGTAGGTTGGTGTGCGAAGACGTTGAATCGGGTAGTTTTAATATCTTCGAATCGTGAACCGTCCCCCAGGTCTTTTGGTCTTGGAGACCATGAGTTTCGAGGTTTCTCAACAGCATTCGCAGCTGGCATTTGATTATCCACCGCATCTTTCACCAATCGTTCCAGATCATCGTGGGGAACCACAACTCTCGGTTCGTCATGTACATTGAATGCCAAATCCATAGCAGGCAAATGCTTAACAAAATTCTTCATCATCCCCTGCGTAGCTTCAATCTGCCAATCCGCAGCCCCCCCTTCCCCAATCTTCCTCACTTCCCCATTCCTTATCAGAACCCCCATTAAATTATTCCCGAATCCCAACGCCTCCTGCGTCCGTCTCCTTATCGTCTGAGGTTTCAACCCCCAAAAGGGCGTAAGAGAATGGTGTATCATATCAAACTCATCAATCAACACCACCTCTCTCTCCTTGGCAAACGCAAACCATTTATCGAAGTTCGGCGGCGGTGGGATCCCATATCTCCTCTTGTATTCCACTACAGCTTCCGGCAAAGTCTTCGATTGCGCCGCGAGTTTGCGCTCGAATTCCATCTCGTTATCCTTGATCAATTGCCACATCGGATGCGAATCACCCACTCTCGGGGGCTCTGATTTCGGCTGCGCATCTTGCTTCTCAGACTGTGGACGTGTATGCGTAGGCGTCTTCAGGAGATCCGCGACCTCTGGCGCTAGAGAGGGCAAAGTGGTGCCACGTAGACAGTAGAGAGACACGGCGAACAGTCCCACGATCGTGATCAGGAACAGGAATTGTCGGGATCGCATTCTCCTCCTGTTTCGGCGGAAAAAAAGCTTGATGTCGGGGAAGGAAGAAGGTTCTTCATGGCCTGGGGGAAGCGTGGGACGATAGCTCGTCGGAGGATGGTACTGATTGTAGACCGAGCTGGACCGTCTTCTCGTCCCTCCTTTGGCAGGCATTTTGGTCTTGGTGTACGAGGACTGGAGGATGGGATGATGCAGGATCCGATCCCTGTCGTACTAGACAGGCTACCCTCGGAGCTGTCTCGATTGGCATTTATATACGGCAGCTGCGCAAAGGGGGTTGTTCGTGGGGGCGACGGTGGGGTGTGTTGTTCTCTTATAACCTTTTTCTGGCTGCTCCCGTTGTTGACATCGCAATGCGTTTTGGTGTTGTCAGAGACCCTGGATTTTAGTGGCTGCGCTCGGATTGGCTGGCGAACTTCCTTTTTGTTTACTTGTGGAAAATTTGGGGTGCGAGTGAATAAATCGAATTGTCGTCACCCAAACTCAAGAATTTGACAGATACTCATGATTTCGGTCCTTTCTGGAAGGCGGGTTGAATTGTTGTAAGGAGATCATCGTCTTTCCCTGAATACGTGGGCCTATTTTTGGAATAAGGGCGTTTGGTCTCATCTTCAAGTAGCGAAACGCTAAGTTGACAGGGCAACATGACCTGAGAAAGTTAATATTCGGGGTTAGGAGTTAAGTTCATGGCATACTTACGAAGTATATAGGGCTTTGGTACAGTGAGATGGAATGAGGCAAGAGGATATGATTTTGTTCGACTCATTTGTTTCCATCCGGTCTTTAAGAGCGTTGCCTTGCCCCTCTCGCGGGTGTTTGCGACTTGTTCCGATGCAATGCAATGCGATGCTTTGCATGCTTGCTAAAAGACAAACTTCACTTCTCACGCAAACTTGGACTTCGGATTCTCGAGGTTGTGGTTGTCGTTCAGATGAAAATGGCGAGTCAGCAAACTATTTCTACCTTATGGGCGTCTTGAATGTTTGTCCTCCGAGTACGTACATCTTTTTTCGCCTGACTGTTTTATTATATCGGGTGGACTCTCATAATGCAAAATGATTTGACTAATCTTCAAGACACTCACCGAGCAGAAGCCTCGAGTGTTTCCTCCTGATTCTGTAGATGAGGTAAGGCGGAGTGTCGCCTCAGAGGCTCAATTAGAGTTAACGTTTTGGCTACAAGGAAAATGAGGCTCCCCAAGTTGAATTTAGCATAAAGCATTGCTGTTACCTTTCAGTTTTGATGTTAACTAAACTCTTCAAATATCACTAAGAGTGAATATCAAAACTATCTCTATCCCACTCTTTTACAAGTCGCAATTCAAGCATTTTCACCTCCTTCATCCATCTCATACTTTGAACCCAGCAAATACAAAGACTCTTCTTCCTAAGTTCAAACCAGATCACAAATCATCTGCATCAATTTTGCTATTTTCACGTCAGCATATCATCAGCCTATCCATGCTTCATCATGACAGGCATCGAAATCGCAGTAGTCATCAGCATACTTGCCCTGATCCTCGCGATCCCACCAACCCTACAATCGATCAGTGAGCTCATACAATGGTTCAAAGAACGAAAAAAGGAGAGACGTATTTCAAAGCTTTGGAGAAAGAGTGCTTTGAAGGGATTTAGGTTTTGATGGTGGATCTATGGGTGATGAAGGGTGTAGGGACGCATTTGAGGTGGCATTTGGAGATGGGGCTTTTGGGGAAGGGTTTTCATGATTTGAGCGTCATATGTTCCTCTTTTGAATTGGTAATTTGATTTGTAACCTATTCGACAAATCACAGGTTTCATCTTTGGGTTTAATTGTAGTGGGGAGTTGGCCTGGCTGCTTATTTCTTTACTGCCTTCATTAGCTTCAAGTATGCCAATTACTCAGCCATCACTGGCGCAATTTTGAGGACCAATTGTTGTCAGCAAGTGGGATTCTGCCGTGAGCTTCCAATTTTTATATATTATCAACCCACGCTCTATGATTAAAAGGTTTTGGGGAATATTCGCTTAATCAGTTCCTACTGGAGACCCAAAGCACTTCTTCGACTACCAGATCACTTCATCCGCTCTTACATGTTTTCTTCCTTGTTTGGACCACAAATAAGCCACCCACTGGCATCTCCTAAGCGAACATAATTTCACGGTCTGTTAGCGGAGTGGCAGCAGCAGTATTGTCTGTTCTACATAAGACGTGCATGGAGTCGTCTTGTTAGGCATCCTCAGATTGCTATATCAGAAATGACAGTGACGCAAGTGGCTACTGGGGACAGGGAAGTTCCTGTCCGACACGAACGAAGAATAAAAAGTGGCTTTTTTTCTTTGCACTTCTTTTGGGCAGTCTACCTAAGGATAGCGCAACGTGGGGGTTGGATTATGTTTTTGCTCTGTTTTTATGTTAAGCGAGACAGTGAATGAGTTCCGTGGCTTATACAAATCGTCCCTTTCACTATCTTCAGCTACCTGGGGCATTAAGGTTACAAAATCAGTGATCACCATGGCTAAGATCGTGGAGGCACTTGTGGTTAGTTTGGGTCAAGTCATTGAAGAAGAGAAGGTGCGACTTCAAGCCATCTCTGTTCAACCCTAAACTTCACGCGACATATGTAAGAGACAAGCAATCCCGTCAAGCTCACTCATTCCTGAGCTCAATTGAATCTGGACTCATAGTTAGACCTGAGCCTTGACTGAGACGCGCAGCATTGGACAAGTCCACACGCTGCGTTCGTAGGATTCGTGTTCTCGTGACTTGATGAGGCTTAGGTTGATGCGACAGATCAGGGAAGAGGTGAGCTTGGTTTCGTTTTCTCTCTCTCCCAAATTGAAGTATTTGTGCTTTGTAGTCTAGATTCAGTTAGAAGATAAACAACCTTGAATCCGTGTTTTGAGCCCTGGCTTCCACTTTGACTTTCGTCAGGTTGCATAAGATCGCATTTTACCACTTCACACCCACTACTACCGTGTCTCTTGATCTTTGAGCTGACTTTGACCAAGAATTGTCATTGGAGTCGTAGTCCAGGTAAAGGAGTAAAGTTGGACTGAGATGGGACTCATTGGACACTGTGGCGAGTGTAAACATCTCCCTAACGGTATGGCAAACGGTTGCCATTATTTTTGGTATGTTGCAAGAAAAACAAAGAAAGGTTTCAAAGCTAGCTCATTGAGATTATCTGTCATCTATGATAGCATCTCTTGACGACAAAATCGTCTAACAATCTACCGAAGCATTTGCGGGGTCCCCATAGGGTGCGCAAAGATACATCATAGTAATCCTACTTAGGCATGGCTGACATGTAATAAATAGAGTACGAGATTAATCTTAGTGAATCTGTTCTCAAACATAAACTTGCGATTGGGCAACACCCAAAACGATTCGTCACCTTCTCCCCTTTTCACTCGCTTATTCGGGCTATCTCGAAGTACATGATATCATTCCCTACAACATTTACGAGCCATAATTTCTTCCATCGGGAAGGTATACACAGCATACGTAGTTACACGCATCATAATTATGTTGATAGTAGCTACGTCAGTTGGTGGATGCGGATTGTCGAGTTCTATATAAAGAGGCCTTTCCCCTCCTAACTTGACTTGCAAAAAATCAACTTTCAACTTGCATTAGTGCTTTCGAAATACAACCATAGGAATTTTCCAATACCTCTTCACATTTGAATACTCAAATACTTAATCGCCCACATAAAATGTTCTTCCAAAACTTCTCCACGCCTCTCATCGTCCTCTTTACCCTTCCTCCCCCTAGCGACAGCAGATTTCTAGTAAGCAGCCCTCATCCCTCACCATCTCCCTAATCCTTTCCCCCTCTTCTTATGCCTTGTCAACCCTCAAAAATTCTCACAAATAAACCAGCATCTACTATGGCACTGTAGTCGACATCTCCAACCCTGGCACAGTGGGAGCAGCCGACGCCGTGATCCTCTTTCCGCAAATTCCAGACTGCAGCACACATAGCACGGGCTGGCTCTACAGCTTGTGGAACGATATCAATGAAGGCGGAAGCCAAGGGTCATGCGATGGGTGCACGGCCAAGAAGAACGCGTACGATATGCCGATTACTCGCCTCGAACTCCTGGATGAAGAGAAATTTCCTATTACCACTGAGGCTTTGGATGATATTGTAAGAGCTACTTTCCCCTTTCCGTCCAACCCTTTCTATTTACTTAAATTTATTTCCATATTCTTTTTGAATTTTGCGGGGAGAGAGTGCTGATTGAGATTAGGCACTCTACCAAGTCGAGAAAGAACCCGAACGCTTCGATATTCACTGGAAGAAACCTGATGGATCCCATGGCAACGGCCACGATAAGGGCTACTGCATGCGTACGCAACCTCGAGACGCCGATGTTTAGGGTCCAGACTGTGAGGGACTGTTTTCGCATGGTCAGGCGGTGCAGATTTTCAAGTGTTATACCAGTCTTGAGCTGGTGACTGAGTGCCATTCTAGTGGTTGCGATTAGAGCATCTCCCAGTAGCTATGAAGCTGCTTGAAGCTAGACTTGAGACCATGTGTTGTTGCTTTTTCTTTTCTGGGGAGGAGTGAATAGTAACCTAATAAGGGCTAGCGTACAAGTAGACTATTTGAGAGACATGGACTCCTAGCTAGCTAGCTACCAAATACAACCACTTCCTTCTTGACTCACATCTGCTTCATCTCACATACGACCTACTGGAGGTGGGTTGAGAGATAGGTGCATTCTCAAGTTCGAAGCTCGCCTTTGTGCAAGGAGATCTAAAATAGACGGGACATTAATATTTGATCATATCATCATACGATGTAGCAACGCTCACATTTATCTATCTATACAATTCAGTCAATTCTCAAGGACTTTCATCACCCCCAAATCTCACAACCCAACAAATCACTTTTTAGGTTCATGATATTTTAAATAAAGCAGATATTGTTATATGGGGCATCTAGGTCTATAATGCTACCAGCAGCTAAAAGACGACTAAACAGCGAATTCAGATCTTTCCTCGATGTTGTCTATATTGAAGGACTGTGGGTTGGTGCGGGTGATTTTACGAGCTTTGGTACCGGCGCTAGTGAAAGTCCTCAAACTACCTCCAATCCTAAAATTACCTATTAGTTCCCATCTTCCCGTTCTATTTTGATCAAAAAGTAGGCACTTACCTAGATTCCCTGAATTCGTAGCTGACTGCAAGAAGAAGGTTCATATCATCACCATCAGTTATCCTGGCTTTTAGAAACGGGGCTGAACATGTTGATTGAAATGACCCATCCGACACAGATCCGTCAAAGAATTTTCCCTCGCAAGTCTCCTTAAAACTTGGGATGCCTTTTGCACCGAAGTCGTCGCCCTCAATTTTGAATTCTGAGTTTCGAGTGATTAGTTTTGACTGGCACTTGGTTTGTTTCAGAGGAAGGGGATTCTTCTTACGATAGGTACAATCTGAAATTGATCCTGGCGCACATTTGGTCAACCAGCCTTGTACTTTCCAACGGTAAACACCATCCTCGGGCAAACCGGTTTGGGGACTTGCGAGTGGGATTGCTGATCCTAATGAGAGGAGGGTCGCGACCACGATAGAGTTGAACAACATGTTGATATTTTTGGTGAGGGTGTCTGAACTGAATGAGACGAGTAGATATCTTTTGACTTATTGTTCTGGATACGATTGAAAAGATATGCTTGATGAGGCAAGCTCTCGATGGGATGATAGTACCTTTATATATAGCAGCTGAGATATCCGAACCCTACTTTAAAAGAACAACTTCGGTGCCATATTTATTTTTAAGCACGGATAGCTCACTATAAAAAGATAATGTGAGGCAAGAAGTCGCTGTCAAGATGTTACAGAAAAGGCGATCATGATGCTTGGCTTTTACCTTTAACGGTAAACCAATGTTACGGAGTAAGTTATCAGAAATGCTGGGATGGCAGAGTGGAGTAGGGTGAAGTACGGAACAGTTTGAACTGGACGATGCTACTCATACAACTCCTGCTTCTTACACATAGAGATTGCGATGAGGGATTTCTTCTCGTGGTTCTTCTCGTAGTCAGACATTTAACATAGGGACACGTTGAAAGCTCATCTCTAAACGGCCCTAAAATTAGTCCTGCCAATTTTCGCTACTCCACTTTACTACAGTACACTCTGCTACCCCAGCATTTCTTATAGCATCGATTTACTACGTCATTGTAAACAGCCCAGGAACTTCGCTTGTTACAGTAGCATAGATTAGGAAATATGCGGAATTCAACACGAACTTTAACAATGTGCGAAGTATGCCAAAGTGAGAAAATAGTGGGATGAAGGCACCCTAGCTACGCTCTTCAGGGGACAGAATAAATGACCGTATTTCCTCCCCCAGAATATGCTTTCTTCTAGAACCTCGTATGCTGTACAACAAGGAGATGAAACAAACATCTAGGAAGGACTCAAAGAAAAAACAAACTGTTTCCGAATCAGCTGGTACTTTATGTATTTCCTTATAATTTGCGTGGCGTTTATGATATATGTTTTGGCATAGAGTGTGCAGGGTGGAAAAACGGTCGATTATTCCGACCCGAAGAGACTATGTATCAGCCAGCACTGAAATTGTGCGTCTCATGTGCAGGACTTCAACAACCACAAGCAAGCAATGGATGTCTTGATTTGAATGACCAATACATCGTCTGTCGATTATACAGGGGTTTCACTATCCATACCTGGTACCGACAAACATCGGCGGATTTCGGCATCCCTTTTTTTATCTACACCGTCTTCTACTTATTCTACGGTGGCTCGAGCTCTACCGAGTTTGAATGCACTTGCCTATCTACCAAAAAGGATTTCCCATTGAAGTTATGTATCACGTAAGTTGATTTCCTACAAGGTCTTTGCTTTTCTCCTGCAAAAGGCGGTACTTTCCATTGCTCACAAGTACCTACGTGTTGGTGGATACATTGCCCCTCACCGACTTCAACATCACCACGATAAAAATCTGCACGATGGCTTTATTTCCTCAATCGTCACTTTGCCAAATGCTTATTCAACCATGGCCGCAACATATCTCGTTACGAGCGCCACAGGATCACAAGGTGGATCAGTCGTGAGAGAGCTTCTTGCTCGAGACCTCAAAGTTCATGCCTATGTTCGGGATTCGACAACGGATGCTGCTCTCGAAATCAAATCCCTCGGAGCAGTTCTTTTCGAAGGCGATTTTGACAACGAGACTTCAATTGCTGCTGCGATCAAAGGCTGCACCGGAGTTTTCCTCAACACGTTTCCTGGCTTCCTCGATCCACACACCGAACGTAAACACGCTCAAAATTTCATCAACGCTGCTGTCAAAGCCAAAACCGTCACCACTTTCGTTGCGTCAACGGTCTTGAGACCGTCAGTCGAAGAATTAGCCGGACAGAAATATGCTTTCCCATTCTTGACTTTCTATTACAGGCAGAAGGGTGGCGTGGAGAAGGCAGTGAGGAAATCCGGCATCAAAAACACAGTCATTCTTCGTCCCGGATATCTAACATACAACGTCCTTTCTCCATACCATGGCTTTCATTTTCCGGGCTATCCTGAGACCCGTGTTATGGAGGTTAGCTATGGTGCTGATCATCAACTCGAGTTTTTGGATGCAGCCGATGTCGGGAAATTCGCTGCTGCTGCGTTCGCCGACCCAGAGCGCTTTGCTGGGGAAGAAATCGACCTGTTTAGTGAAAAGTTGACCGTTGCGGAGATTGCTTCAACCATCACCAAAGTCAGTGGGGTGGAAATCAAGGTCAGTTACCGGACTGATGAAGAGACTGAGCAGATTCGTCGTAGTGGGAGGATGCCGGCTATTGAGAATCAGATTTGGGTGAAGACGCATCCTAGTATGAGAGATAATAAGAATTTGGAGAAGTACGGGATCGCTCTTGGTACGCTTGAGGGTTTCCTTGAGAGGGAGAAAGATAGACTGTTGGAAACGCTAGGAGTGGCAGAGCGAACTGGAAGGGCAAAAACTTAGATATTATAACTAGGGGTGCCTTCGAAAAGGTAGAGAAGTTTGATGGTTGTGAGAGCATGTCAATTTATTAGCGACCTAATGTATTAATTATCTGCATTTCAAAACAACAATAATTGTCCGAAGCAATGTCTTTGGAAATAACACGAAACCAATAAGACCTGCAAGCAGAGGTATATGTAATGGTGAGAGGGGTGTAGTATCGGTTGCGTTTGGATTTCGGATAATTTTGGGTTGTGTGGCCATGATCAGTGATTCTGTAGCATTTGATCATCGAGTTGAAATTTGGAGTCAGGTATGCTGGAACTGGTTCCCATCATAGAGAGCTTTGCAAAATTGATCATGTAAGACAGTTGGATTACCAGAAAGGTGAAGGGCGTTAATATATAGTTCTATGTCAAGGATTTGTTGCTTATGTAACTGTCGAGCCCTTTTCCTGGAAGCTCCCTTTAAGCCAGTAAGCCAGGCCTCACTCGCTTTCTCCCAAACTACAATTCAGTAGAGAGGTTTAGTAGGAGAGTACGATATCAAAGACAAGGGCTCTGAAAGTGTAACTTTCCAAACTTGCATGGCTTCCCACGTCTTGAAATGGGTTTTCAGGTTCGCCTTCCATTCGAACCCTTTAGCAATCATCTAGAGCTTGTCAATAACTAATTTCTTGAGCGATTTTTTTCGGTGTGGCTTTGAGGCTCTGGTCTCCGTCCACAGACCAAGTCAATTACTCATGCCAAACCCTCGTAAAGCTTTTGCTGAATTCTTGTCATTGCCAAAAGTGGGTACTCGCGTGATAATTGTAGCAAGTTCCTAGATACTTTATCTTTCAATCGAATACGAAGTACATGCCAGAAAATACAAGTAGAAATACCATAGCAAAACAAAGTTAAATAAATGAATATTTGAGATTAAAAAGGACCATCAGAAGCACGAGACTTAGCGCATCTAGATAACCAACCTTTTATTAACAAACATAAGTCAATTATAGCTTGAGTATCTTACTGAATTATCAAAGTCGCGGCGTCGCCGTTCGCCAATGTAGATCATCACTCTTGGCATTTAGCGAACTGCAGTTAAAAATAAACGAAAAGCTTAGCACCGTTTCACAACTTCACAAGTTCTCTTTTTCTGAACGTCTTCTTTTCGGAAGGGAAATTTGGTGAATCTACCGTGGTTAATCACATCTAAGCCAAATGCTTTGGTGGGATCAGTGGATAGAAGTAAGGCTTATCCATAGACTCTGAGTGGTTGGAAGTCCTTCTGATCATGCGCAGAAAATTAAGGTAAACGGTGGCTTCTCGTACTCGGGCTCTATGCCCTATGATTCGTAGAATACTGCTCTTTGAGTGGCTGAAAAATAGTCTTGCGAACTCTTGCTACCCCACTGTTCCCCGCATGCATCATTCTTCTTAAAGACGATTTACGAAGTGCCACGTTATCTTTGCATTATGGAGGGATGTCCAGACGTCATAATTGACAAAGTCTATAATTTTATATTAGGATTTTTTGACAATTCTTCTAATTGAGAGTTCTATCGCCGCGCAATTCATCGAATCCAATTGATCGAAGACCTCCCATGGCTGAAAACCAGTTTAGCGAGGAAGAAAAACATTTTCGTATCACAATTGCAACTACCGTGTGTTAATCAGTTCATGACCTAGCAACCGATCCTGTAATTGGAAACACGACTTTGGAGATCATGGCATCACGAGAAGAGTTTAAAATTAACCAGCCAGCTTGCCACATGGCCAAGATGATAGTCCTCCGCAATCAAGAAATTCCTTCTATTCTTAGATACTCGTAAAAAAGATTTGCCGTCCGATCTCTCGGGTCGTGGATTCATGTATAATGACTGAACGTTCCAAGAGGAAATTTCTTCTCCATCGCCTTCGATCTTCTTTTTTCTCGTCTTTTACATTTTTTTCCCTTTTCTTTTGGTTTCTTCTTTCGCAATACACACTCGTTAAGTTTTACTTTCAAAGACACTCGTTTTAGCATCCGATTCTTTTCTGTTGGACTCGAACTATGCAACTCCTCAACCTCCCCACGGGGGTTCTCCTGTTCGCTTCGGTGGTGTCTATAACTGCTCTCCCAGTCCAGTAAGCATTCCTGTCTTCTCGCACAACTACTCATCGCATGAACTAACTCGCAAGTAGACATGACATTGCAGCACTTGAAGCCCGAGCTATCATCAAACCGGGAGGAATGACTGGACTGAACGAACTCGTAACCAAAAAAAAGCCGAACTTTCCTGGTCTTGAGAATTGGAAAGTCGCCGCAGCAGACCTGCAATCATGGTCGACTCTTCCAAAAAGGCCTACCAATGTTAAGGCGGCAAAGGCCAGAATCGCTCAGGCCAAGGCCAACGCAGCTCAGCGCAAACCTGCTGTAAAGCCTCCTCAAGCAGTTCCAAACGCGGGAGGGGCTCTTCCAAGAAAACCTACTCCGGCGGAGGCTCAGGCGTCTAAGGCCAGAATTGCTGAGGCTAAAACCAGACTTGACGCGGCTCGGCTCGACCGGCTAGCGTACGCCAGTCTTCCAAGGAGACCTTCACCAGCTGTGGCTCAAGCAGCGAAGGCTCGACTCGCTCAAATCCAACGTCCCGACGGCCCCATCGCGAAGCGAGACCTCTCTAATGAAGCCAACACACTTGAAGCCCGAACAACAACACCAACGGCCTTGGGCTTTGCGGAGTCCACACGAAATCAGAAACTGAAGGCTTCCTCCTCAGCATCAAAAGCAAAGGTCGAGACTCCCAAAGCGAAGGACTTTGCGCAATACATACGCACCGGTGAAGTAAGGCAATCACCACCAACGACACCAAAGGCTGGAGAGTTCGCCCAATGGATGCGCAATAAGCTAAAGGGTGACCAATGACAAATAGCCACTTTAGCCGATGACGCTGCGGCGATGTCGGAGTATATGAGATATCGTATGCAGAAGGCTGAGGCGGAGACGGCGAAGATGAAAGCGATTAGTGCGAAGCTTGATAAAGCTCGTCAAGCTCGTCAATAAGGTTTCTTGTCAGAGATACTTGGAGCTTGAGTGTCTATGGGTTGGGTTTGCATTCTTTTATTTGCTGGGGGTTCTTCTAATGATACGATGATGAACTCATGTGGCGGCAAGAAATGAAGTGCGGTTCCATTGATGAAGGATGTCTGAGGGGAGGGGCGTTGGAAGAATCACGATATTTATTTGTTTATTTATGCATGAGATAATGGGAGGAATGGTGCAGACTCGTTTAGTTCTCAATGCTATATATCTATATCTCTAATAATTTCCAAGTATAGTAAAGCTTTCATTAATAAAATAACATTTTAGAAGATTAAGTATTAATATAAGATCCAATATCTTATCCCTTCGCCTATAGTATTTGGAATCCACAATCTCATTCTAACTTATAACACTAACCTGGATATAAGTACTTCATTTCTCATCTATTCCCCCTTATAACTTCACCTATTCCACTACCTATTTACAAGAAAATAAGACTACTCACTCATACAAATTTCCTATTACATAACAAAACCCAAAAAAGAATACTCTAAGAACCCCTCTAATACATTTATAAAAAACACCTAATAAAAAAGTAGCTATCTTATAACTCCTTCCCTAGAGTACTAATAAAACTAATTAAATACTTAACTTTACTCGAGTAGTACTCGAGTTAGGTTAAATAAGTATAATTAGGTAATTCCGTTAAGTTAAGCTAAGTAGTAGATTTAACTATCTGAATAGTACTCGAGTAGTTATATATAACGTAACTATAATATAAGAAACCTGTCCTTAGATAGTATATACCAAATATAGGGGCACTCGGCAAGGTCTATATATAAGGACCTACTAGTACCGGCCGCCCGGAAGTCGGGCTAGCGAGTCGAGCGCGCTCTAGGGTATCGCGCTAATACTACTAGAGTAACTTATAAGTTAATTAATAAGTACTTAGCGAGTTAAGTTAAATAGCGATTTTTACTACTCGAGTTGAGTTAATTAGGTACTACTACTTAACTTAACCACTCGAATTTAATATACTGTTTGTAACGAATACTCAAACTGGCTAACTAAACTTGGCTGGGTGTTCGCTGGTTGGTATGCTATGATAAGAAGAAGA